CCCCGCCCCGTCCATCATGCACGCATTACCGCATGCAGCGGCCTAGCGTGCGACTTCCTGTGTCCAGGGAGGGTAACGCGCCGCGACCCTGCGAGCGCGCGCCTCGGCCCTGCCCCCGACACGGCAGCAGCCGCGACCCGCGCGCCTGCTCCAGTGACAAGTAGCAAGTACACGGGAAACGCAGATTAGCAGCTACATAGCTTCACAATACATGGGATATTTAGCTAAAATCTTTCGCCTCCAGTGACCAGTAGTAGGTACACGGGAAACGTATCTAAAATTCTTCGGTGGATGACTAAACGTTGACCTTCTAACATAGCTAAAATTTTAGCAAGATAGCTAAGTTATTAGCTACAGAGCTACATAATTAGCTATTGGTTCGGCTATACAGCTAATCTTTTTTGCCGTGTGCACACGGGGAAGCAGGAGCGTGTGGAGATGGGCCGCACGGGATAAAACCACCGCCAACGTGCGCCGCCCGAACCTCCCCGAAGCGCGGCGCCAAGAGTTCGTCATTGCCACACTGACATCTCACATCTCACAAGCGGCCCCCAACCATGGCAAAGCATTTGAAAGTGTTCGACACTTTTTCGCCTATAGTTTCGGGGGTTGCTGACTATAGAAATTTATATGAACACCTTCAATTATTGTTGGATTGGTAGAAAAGTGAACTGGTAGATTTCGAACACATGAGCCGAGCACGTGAGGCGCGCGTGGAGGTCGCAGCCGGCCGACGACACACGCGCGTCGCCTCCAAACACACGGATTGGCCCGGCGGCGATCACAATCGTGGGAAATAAAATCACAACCGAAATGTGTCTGTCGTGTCGTCACCCCGTCGCTGCTGCCGCCGCCACCGCCAGAACCGGACTCATCCTTGTAGCCTCGTTAGTGCTGCTCGTCGTTATTTTTGTCTAGTATTCTTCTTTTTCTTTCCGTATTGTAAAATCGGTCCCGATCGCCTCCTGCTCTTGGATCACCTGGCAACGAGGCAGAGCAAAAGGTTGTTTCGTCCGACCAAAGACTTGAACATGTCATCCGGTCCCCGTTGGAGGCGCGCGCGCCTGGCGCTGCTCGACCTCAGGCGCTGCTGGAGGTTGGCCGCAATAATAAAAGAACGACACATGTGTCTAGCCTTGCGTACTGTTGCTGCTGCTGCTGCGGGAGCGAGGACTCGGTGACCGGTCACACACTACAACACGCACCGGTGACTGGCGGCTGGCGGTCAGGACGCGGTCACGACGGTCAAAATGTCACCGATATCCAACTGTATAAGGTCGAACACAAACACACTCGCGTCGCGATAGCTTTCTATGATATTGTTTATAGGTATTGCAGATATTCGAAATCTTTCGTTCATTCTTTTTAAAAAAATCGCACCCCATAAATGTCACCAAAGCGTCCCTTGAAATGAGCCGGTGTCCGTGTGAAGCGATGTAGAGCACCGTCCGTCCGTCACAGGGACTCGCTCACGCGCCACGACGGCGTCCTGTCCGGCCGGCGGGTGAGACACTTTACTTTACAATAAGGTGTCCCGTGACTCTCCGCGCACGGCCACGACTTTCCTTTTGCTGCGGGGGGAGCGCGGGGAGAGTCCGGCGCGAGTAATGAAGACGTATTCAGCCCTTTACATGTGCGCACGTGAAAAGGAAATTGAAGATTAGTTTCAGACGGTAAACAAAAAACATATGTCAGTTATGTGAGTCGTCCAACTGACATGTTTGTTTTTCCTATAGCTTTAGGAAAATAAACTGAGGCAGCTGCCTAAATTTCCTGTCCGGACAAAAAATGCTAGTTCTACATACAACAAACCGTTCCCTTTCGAAGATGGTTCACTATTTAGTAGCACGAGATAAAAATTAATTAAAGAAACAATCAATTAGATAATGTGCTTGGTCTAGTGCTCACTCAACGCGGCGCATAATAAATGTATGCTCACATTAATAAATGTACCGTTTTGAAGTTATGCACGTCGAGGGATACACAATCAAGCAGTGGCGGGTGGCGGGTGCACTGAAATGACTGTTCGGGTCTACACAGCCGCTGCAGGCAATACACCCTCTATCGGCCGCGTTACAACACACACCGCGCAGCACGCGCCGCAGCCCACGGTATACAAGCCGAGCACAGCCGGGCACAGCCGAGCACAGCCGAAACCGAGAAGCGGCCACTTTCGAAACACAATGTATTGAATATCGAAATATGAAGGAAACAGGGACAACAGGAACAGGGACATCTTGGTGGATTGAGGGGGAATAATATGAAGGAACTCGAAGGAATATGAATGAGAGTAAGTTTGTAAGCCACGGTGGGGTCTAGTGAAAGCAATATGTGTAGCAGCTGGGGGTCGGATGGATTAGATCTCTCCCCCAGTCGCTTTAACAGAGTTCCGAGAGCTCCCTTAAACCCTCGGAGCGTTTACACACCACACAGTGATGGCGTGTTTTCTTCGCGTGCACTCAGATTTAGAAATGACCCCGTCGCGTTCGGCCGCCTCGTTCAGTATTCTTGGCGCGATGACCACCGCTGGGCAGCCCTGCCCCGCCTCCTAGCTCCACCTCGCCGCAACCGCCCCGCCCCGCCCCGCGACGCGGGCGTGCGCGACCTCGCGATAGGCCCCAGCACCGCCACGCCCTCGGCGTCCCTGCCGCGGCCCTAAGTTGCCCCCTCGGGCGGCCACAGCCACAAAACGCTTCTGGGTACGCGTTGCCCAACGTTACAAACAATCCTCCTGCTTGCACTGGGCCGCGGGTGGGTGGTCTCTATGAACCCCACCTCCCAAGTGAATATCTGAACCACCAACCAGTCTCCCCGCAGCCTTACTTCTTCGCGTGATGCTTGAAGTCTGCCTCTGTCTCTCGCAGGCCGTACACACGTGCGGACCCAGATCTGACGGGATTAGCCTGGGTCACAGAGTTCTGATCGAAACCGGACCTGAGCAGTGGCAGCCCCGGCAAAGATCTGGCTCGCGACAGACTATACACGGGAGGCATACAAGGCGTACTACACCAGACAGACCCTTTTCTTTTTCTTTGAGCTACATAGCCTCTGTTTGTGCAACTCGCTGTTTGTAGAACGCACGTTACACCAGCACAATGGGCAGCTAGAGCCCAATTTATCTATTTTTATTAATGACAAATAAGTTCTCTAAGAGAGCAGCAAACTAGATTTTAAAGGCTTGAGGGAAAGGTAAGTGGTTGAGGCTGTGATGCCTACTAGGATTTCGGGGTTATTTAAAGCAACACGTCGGTCTCAACCATTTACTTAGACCCTACAAAACATTTCTTAATGTAGAAAATTAGAACACAACCGTATACTCTTGAATTAATATCAAATCTGTTTCACGATCGATTCTTGATTGACCCGTTTTTTGATAGTTTCAGTGCGATTAACCGAGTAAGTATTTATTTGCAACGCACATCATGAGCATTGAATGCAATGCAAGTGTGATCAACGACCCCCTCCCCACTCCCCTTCCTCCTCTCTCTGGAGCCCCCCCGGAGCCGGACACAACTCTAGCGACTCGGTCCGGCCGGCGGCCGCGGAGTCGATTTCTGATTCCCGACCAGGCGCGGCGCTGCGCGGCGCACAAGGCGGCAGAGAGGCGATATATTTTAAATGCCACCACCTGCTACAGTCACACTTTCTGACTCGGTAAAACAGCGAATATATTGCCAGCCAGCTGGTGAGCCGCAGGCAGCAGCCCAGCCGGGTAGGGTGGTGGGGAGGAGGCGGGGTGCGAGAGAGACTCTGTTCGAGACAGAGCAAAGGGGAAACCGTCGGTCTGGTCTGAAAAATATGGCGTGCGTC